GACTTGCCACGGTCTCCAACCCTCCTCCTTTCTCATCCGGGCTTGGGACCGGCCATGGCGGAGTTTTATCAGTCTATATATCACTTAATTCCAGCGACTGCGGTGACTTCCAAAGTTGTTAAAATGTCACTGTCATTTAAGGCAAACTCTCAAAATGAAGTGCCCATAAATTTTATAATTCATAGCATGACCAAACACTCAGTGTTATCTTGGTCGCTTATGCATTGATCATTCTGTTGTGAGATGTGTTGGCGCAGTTGTCTAAGGGGTCTGCTTTGAACTCCTGAGGAACCGGGTTCGATTCCGCTCGAGGAAAATCTTTGTCTTATTCACGAATTTCTTTCAGCAAGAAATTTACCACAGGTTGCAAATACGCAGTTTCTCAGTCATTAGGGCGTTGAACTCCAGCCGACGGTTTCCGAGTCCAGCTCGGGCGGTACCATTCGCCCTTCGTCCTTCTGAGGTTGATAAAATGAGTACCATTCTGTGGAAAAGAAACGAGACTGCACGGTACACTTGCTAGATGCCTTAAAAATAAGGTATTCATGGCTGGTGACATACAAGCTGAGATGAGCACCGCACCATCAACTTCGCGAAAAGAAAGGGCGCCAGAATGGCCCAGTTATGAAAGAGAAGGAAGACCGTCATTCCAGGTTGACCAGCTTACTGCTGTGAGTCGAATGTCTCGCGTGAGTTAATTTACTATTAGGAAGCTATGACTGCTCGGTCCGTTCGTTTGAATACTACCTGCGTACACATTCAAAGTATCTTCATCACATTTCGGTAGTGCTCTGGATTCGCAATTAAAAAATACTACAACTAAAACATCTTTATGCTTAAGTGAAGGATGAATAGAGGTATCAATCATTTTTTCTGGCCAGTCACTCAACTTTAATGTTTCTGAGGTTGATAGGTGAACACCATTTTCTAATTCGTTTGAAAGAAAACAAATCTAAGCTTTGAGATGATCAATGAGTTCAAAGCAGTTTCAAAAGTAAATGAGTTTCTGCCTGCCGACTGTCTCAAAATGGGATTCAGCAACGCAGACTCAACTCTATGAAAATAAATATACTCAGCGACCATTGTATGAGTGTGAGCGATGCTGACGTTTTAACAGCTGCAAGATTTCCTACCTGTGCACTTGAACGTGTTGTACATTCATTTGCTAGTGTACGTTTGCTAAGCACTTCCCTGTTTACCCCCTTTAGCTGAACGACAACACTGTTGGCTTTCGGCACATTTATTGGCTCCATTTTTGGGCGCAATGGGCAGTTGGTAGACCTTTGCTTCAGTGACAGTTAAGTACCAAGATACAACTCGTGATATTTTATGAAACGTTTGTTTTGCTGTTTGCGTCATTGAAAAAGTTTTGCATGGTACTAAGGCAAAGCATCTCTCTAGTTTTTACCTTTGCTTTTATTACTTCTGGGATATGATAGTTTTTAAATTTGGTGGCATACCTTTGTTTACTACATGATTGAATATTGATTAGCGTATTTCAACCTGACCAGTTTATGCGTTATTATGACTCAGTCTCATTGTTTTGTCATGTTCATGTTACATAATCTGCATATAATGTCATTTAGAGCTGGCAGTATTTGCTCACTCATTCGAAGTTGAACAACGTCGATGATTTACAACAGAGTCAGTTACACGGATACACGGACTTTTCGATGAAATCTATGATTAATTCCGGAGAGCCTCTTTTCCACTGCATTCCTGCAACCTTCGTGGCATTGCACTGTGCACTTGAAGAAGCCTGCTTGGACCTTCGTTATTCTTGGGCACAGCAATCGTTGTCTACGATCCTCTGCTACATCGCTGGGTAAGTATTCTGTTAACTTTGCATATGAATGTGCTTACTTACTCCTGAGTCTGAAGCATCTCTCACAAAACACTGTTTGTCTTCCCTCTAAACTTTATTTCGATAAGAATTGACCAGTGCACGCACATTGCAGGAAATCGAATCAAACGTGGAAGCGTCGCGTTCAGGCGCACAAATGACATATCACCTTTATATATCGAACAGTGCATTAAGTAGGTATGTGTGGCTTCATTTCAGTTGAACCAAGCATCACCATTCTGAGTAACTATGCTGAACAAGCTGTATTATGACCAACTTTAAATTATGAAATAAAAACAAAAATGTCAGTGCTATTGTATGAAAGTTTTTTGTATTTTATGTTTAGCAGGTATTTCCATTTTCACTTTTAAGTCGTCAATGATACAGTCAGACTGTTGCGGTGCAGTTGTGCGGCGAAGATATAATGCACAACCGAGTGCTTGTAGTAATTGAAAGAATAATTTTATGCGATAATTGGAATGCAAAAGTAGTCATTAGATATCACAAATGTTTTTTAATGAACTGTAGATAGGCATCATTAATGTTTGACTCAATATTCACTGCATTTGTTAAGTAAATCAAACAACATTACACTTGCAATTTCATGGGAATATATGGTTTCTTATGGGAAAATAGATTCATGCCCTGAATATGTTCAAAGTCTGTGCGGCGCAGTGCGTAATACGTTCGCTTCCAACTCGAACTGTAGAGGTGCTGGGTTCGATTCTCGTCGCGAGCAGTTTTTATCTATACCATGAATTCTCGTGAGCGATGAATTTACCATGCTTTGTTTCAGAACCGGGGTTATGCGGTCGGTCGAGCTTCGGGTTCATGATCGAAAGGTCCTGCGTTAGATCCCTGGTCGGTGCACTCGTCTCTCTTCCTTTAGAGATTGATAAATGAGCACCACTCTGATGAGTGGAAAGGAATCAATGGAATGCAGACTATGCTTGTCACGATTCTGCGTTTAAAACTAATGCACTCCTGGTGGATGTGATGGGAATGGAAAGCAACACCTCATTGTCGACCTCCCCATGAGAACAAGAGTGCTGGAATTGGCCTAATCATATAAGCTTAAGTAATACGTTCGTCCCAACGGATACAGACTTTTATATTTTTATATATTCAAAGAGATTTGTACACCGGAATGTGTTCAAAATGTTTGGTTCATCTACGAATTTTACGGCATGCTTCACCGCCGTCTCGCTTCTAATTATACCTACGCAGACCATTTAAACAGGCGATGACTCCATGGTATTTTGAGTACCTGAGCTGCATGCATCACATTATTTCTTACAGCAACAGATACCAATCGTTTTTGTTTCTAAGTATTCGTTCTTTCCTAGGTAGTTAATTCATTTCTTTAGATGCACATTGTATTGCTACTTCTTAAGAATTGAAAATGAATTCTTCAGGATTTTGTCAAGCAAATTATCATAAAGAGTCATTTAGCCATTTTTGACACTTTGCATTAGTCGGTTTTTAAAACTGAATATTTTCAGATCGCTTCAACTTTCTTCGCATGAATATTACCGTCGGTTTCATCCAGTCACCAATGATTTGGTATTTTTTATTAACTCCGGTAAATATTCTATCTTCAATAGTCAGTCCTTTGCTAATAAATTTTTTCTTCTCATTTCAGTCGATCGCTCAAAATTAGTGTTTCCCACTTATTGGTTCGATACATGTTGGAACGTGTATGACGTCATGGCTAGTTTAATCGGTTCTTCAGAATTTTCACCGCCG